ACACACTCCCTTCTCGCCTGGTACCGCCATGTACACACACACAACCTCTAACAAGGCCAGTATGCATGGCCGTCCTCACCCACCCTGTCTCATGCGCTTGAACGCACCCATACACACTCAAACATACAACACTGAAGTTATTCATACACTGAGGGGAAAGGAGCAGCTCAAAACCAAGCAGCCATGAAAGTTTAATACAGCGAGTGTCTGACGGATTTACAGAGATCCAAGTTGCAGGAGAGAGGGTTGCAGACACAATACGCCTCTAACTCACGTCATCAAAATTTCATCTCAGAGATGTCAAGTAGTTAATTTTACTGAGGACCTGGGCTTTTCTTCTAAACAATCCTTAAATATTTTAGAGGAAATTAATTTCCTGGGGTTGCACATATCATCATCAGACTCTGAGTAAGCATTAGCTGGCCCATTCAGAACTGTGTGGCAAATTCATATTCTCCAACATAAGAAAAGTGTAATCTAGCTCTATCATCAACTGCCTGAGGAACAGAGCAGTGCCAAATGTTACAGCCTGGCATTCCTCTTGCTGCTCTAAGCACACTTAACCTCTGCTCTGGAGACCCATTAAGGCTGGCCAGCAGTCACAATTACTACTTTTCTACTAAACAAATATGAACATAAAATGGTACCAAATAGTATGAAATAGCTTTGTGCCTGTGGTGTTAAAGTCCCAGTTTTCAAGTGCAGTGTTACAGACTTCTGTATACAGACCAAAAGACCTATAAATGGAGAACATTGTCATATTATGTTGAAGGATCCAAATGCAGAAGGCAGAGGTGTTGAGTAGATTGTGGGTGATTTAATAAAAAATGTTAAACAAAAAACTTAGAAAAACCACATAGAACAGAGCAGGAAAAAAAATCTGTGGATGAAATGGTAGGCATTTAACAGAGAGATAATATGGGAATAGCTGGCAGAACCAGCAAAGGGTGACAGCAGCAGAAGTGTTAAAGTACTGGGAGATTGAATGTGGAACAATAGACCTTAACTGATTGTCGAATTGCAGGTATGGGGAGAGTGCAAAAGGCAGGCAGAGGAGAGAAAGATAAAGTATATTATTCAAGCACTTATTCAATATTTAAAAAATACAAAATTAGCTGAGAGGATTAGTATGAATGTGTGTGAGTGTATAAGTATGTATATAATTTAATTATTTTAAGATTTGAAGATATATAGGAAAAATTAATTTCTCAATTACATCTCTGTCCAGTTGATGGACGGAGTTTGTAAACTGCCAAACTTTTACTTCTTCTATTCAAGAAGATGAAGAGGAGGAGAGAGAAAGTGGAACAGGGGTCAAGTAAGAATACACAGGGGACTAGGAAATAAAGGCAACACTGAAGAGTAGTTAGACCTATGAAACAATTAAACTAGAGTAACAAGGAATAAATAGACAAGAAATAATCTAGAATCACTAAGGACTAAACTAAAATAAACAGAAACAAGACTGATGTAATCAAAGAAAGAGATGAAGGAACAAAGAATAATAAAGCCCAAAACAATCCAGGTCTTAACACATCTCATTGTAAGCCAACTTGCTACTGTTAGCCACTTAACAAAATTAGCTTTTAAGATAACATTAGATTTAGCTGGGGGGGGGGGGGGGGTTGCCTGCTGAATTAAGAATATTACTGTAGATCACTGTTCTTAAGTGAGGGCTAAAGTTAGCCCTCATTCTAACTTTTGCATATGATCAACAATTAGCATTTTAGCTGATTTTGATATTAAAGCTAAACCTCACAGGCTGAATGGAATGAGCTAATCTCAATCAACATGGGATAGAAATGCTATTGAGAACATTTCACCCAATATCAGCCAACGTTGACCTAAAAGCTAATCTAAACCAGCTGAATAGAGACATCTTGTTACTTATAACATCGCAGCTTCAGCCCACATGCTATTGATACCATCTTAGCCATGACTAACTTTTGACATAAGTGTGTTTGTCCAGGTTAATATGCTAATTATAGCATAATTGCTGTCATTAGTAATTTAGCTAACTTAATTTTTTTTAGCTTATATTAGCTTGTACAATGGTTTTTCTACAGTAGAGTAAATTAATCTTATTAAAAATGTCATTTGCAAGCCACAACCTTTAGCATTTTGGCTGAAAACGCCAGGTACCTATAACACACACACTGCCCTGACTGTACTATGAACTTTAACTTATTACTTCCCTAAATGACCATGTACTTCAGTTTTGTAAGTGTTCTGCACCAATTAATAGGATTTTGGTATTGACTGTGTTTTTCTACATAACATTTGCAGACATATTTATGCTGCTGTTTTTCATCTGTTATACTTCTATAAGGCTTCTGCAACTTCAACTGCTTTGGCAATTTCTACCAAAAAGATTCAGCTTACAACATTCACACATTCACAAATCTTTGCAGAAAATGCATTTTTTTCTACTTTCAAATAATGTTCCTTCTGTTGCTTGAAGTTTTTTACTGCTTGTGTTTTCATGCATATAACATCTTGTATAATTTTTTACTTTAAAATCAGATGCTAGTGTATTTTCTTAACATTGCTTTATCTTTGTTGCATTTTGTGAATGCTGGTGTTATTTCCGTTACTCTTGAATCTCTTTATGAATAAACATCCACCCAAATCTGAAACAGTCTCTGAAACAAAACAAAAGGAGACCTTTAGATATTAATAATTGTTAGATATTATGCACTCAAAAAATAAGATGTTCACACAAAAATAATTTGGTTGTGGCCCAAATATTTCACCAGTCTTTGTCCAAAAATATAAAGAAAAAATATGGAAACGTCTCACCGGTTTGGCGTCTGTATACCCGGGCGATGTCCTTCATTAGTTCTGGAGCGTCCTTTGCCCGAGTCACTCCAGGTATCAGTCCGGTCCTTTCCCAATGTGACCTCTTTTTCACATCCAGGATTACTTTTAATTCCTTCAGCACTGTGTCAAGCTTTCCCCTAACAATCCAAGAAAACGCTTCTCTGGGCTAATCTCTGGAGCTCCACCGGTCCAATGTTCGCCGTCTCCTCACACTGTGCACCTGCCACACCCGGTTCCTCTCGTGTCTTTTTTGATATAAGTTTGGGTAAAAGTTGTGACCCAGATATTTTAACTCTTTGGACTTTTATACACAAAACAAGTACATAAAAGATGTCCTTGTACATATACTAATACAAATAATTTACTTGTAGTTTAATTTGTTTTTTTCATTGTGGTTAACTTTTTTCCACAAGATACTTTATTTTATTGTGATGTCTCAACTCTCTTTTCAGCTTAGAATGGGGAACCATCTGCAGAGCCTTATCATAGGCCCATGGGGACCTGCCAGGCTGCAGACGTCCCCTGATAACCTGGTGCATGTCCTAAAAGAGCTGTGAAAAACCTAAGCAGTGATTCAAATTTAGACAATTCAAATCATACTGAAAGAACCCTCTTGATGCCATTTTTGCAGTTGGACTTTCATGAAAGCAGTGTGGGTTTACAAACCACTTGTAAAGAGTTCAAAACAGGAAGATTATTGTAATAAGTTTTATAAATAAACATTGTCTTGCCTCAAATGCAGCGATAGCATTTCTTTAGATAATGCTTGATCAACTGCAGCAAAGGACCCCTCTGCAGCTATAAAATACTTTGAACATGTGAAAAACTCAGCTTTCTGTTTTACTTCACATCAATACAGTGTAGGGCAGGTATAATTGAAATGAAAAAGTGCTTAATAGGAATATAGTTTTTTATAGTTTTCACTTAGACCCATTCTTGGGTTTTCTCCAGGTACTCCTCCTTACTCCCAAAGTACAAAAAAATCTCTAATGGATGGATGGACAGCCAGTTAAAATTTAATATTTAAGATAAGCATATTACATGAAATGAACAAAAAACATTTTAATGGAGAAATTCAGCCTTACTAAGTCAAGTTTAATACGTTCTTTTCCAAAGATGCTCATACTGATTAAAATTTTCTGAATGTTACTATATATATATATATATATATATATATATATATATATATATATATATATATATATATATATATATATATATATATACTTCAGTATTTTTCAGGCAGTTATTTCAAATTTACCAAGAACTTGTTAGTTATCTTTTACTGCCATCTTGTGGCAGCATCTAGATTTTCAGTACTTCAGAAAAATTCAGCAGAAACAGCCATGTTAGTGCTATTTATCAGAGTGGGCTAGTTTCTGTTAATTAGTTAATGGTTGTGGATGAACAAATCTAAATGTACAGTGTTGTCCATAATAGCATATTGTTTAACCTGCGGTTTATCCTGAACTACTATTAGCTCACTAAACACTGGTTGTCTTTTCCTTCTTCCTGGATCATCAGCAAAAAATAATATGCAGTCGGACATAATGCCACATTAGTTAGTACCACAGTATAAACTATTAAACGGTTTTCTGCTTAATGCTAGCTGTAGTTAAATTACCTGTTAAACCTAATATTTATCTCATTATTCCAATTCTCTTGGAAGACCCTCAGCCGTTGATGCTGACAGCTGTAAGCAGGAAGAACCTGTAGCAGCCTGTGTTACAGCCTCTGACTGAAGACACTGTTTTTCTGCAACAGTGTGAAGAGGATACTCAGGGTTGGTCATACGCTTCCATAATGAACATTGGTTTTTTGTCAATAATATATTTTATTGTTTTTTTTATATATAATGCCACATTAGTTGGTACCACAGTACAAACTATTAAATGGTTTTCTGCTTAATGCCAGCTGTAGTTAAATTACCTGTTAAACCTAATGTTTATTTCATTATTCCAATTCTCTTGGAAGACCCTCAGCCGTTGATGCTGACAGCTGTAAGCAGGAAGAACCCTTTAGCAGCCTGTGTTACAGCCTCTGACTGAAGACACTGTTTTTCTGCAACAGTGTGAAGAGGATACTCAGGGTTGGTCATACGCTTCCATAATGAACATTAGTTTTTTGTCAATAATATATTTTATTGTTTTTTTTTTACAAATATATATGCCATATAACAAATACAAACAAGAGTAAAAAATGCACTCTTAGTTACATATCTATATTTTAAGTATACGGAAAGTAATAGTCCATTGTTGAGGCTTCCTGGTTTGACATCATGTTCTGACATTAGTCTTTAGCCGTCTTCTTCATCCTGAGGCAAGTCCACTCCTTCAACAAAATTCCAGAAGGGTATCCAAATAAATCAAGTAAATCACTTTTCCCTTTTTGGAGATATGTTAAGCATTTCAAAGGCAAAGTTTTCAGCATTTGCTTGATACTTTGTTTGGTCCCTGGTCTTGATGTGTTCTTCCATAATAGTGCTGTCAGTCTTTTAGCTTGAAGTAGACACATACCAATCAACATTTGTTCACATGTCATAAACAATATTTTTCAGATACAAACCTACAATTAGAAAAACCGGATCCAGTGCAACATCCTTTCAGACAAGATGTTTCAATTTTTTTTATTTTCCTGCATTCCCAGATACAATGATACCAAATCCCTTTTTCTTCTAAGCATTTTGTGGATGTCTGGTATTTGGATTGTACTGATGTCAATTAGTTGGTGTAATATAGATTCTCATTAAACTTTTGTATCGAAGTAAGCTTAAGCATGCGTTAACTGTTCGTTTCTGAGCCCTCATACAGACAGACTGCCAATCCTCCAGTGACAGGTTTACCCCCAGGTCTCATTTCCATGCTTCTGGTTTCTGTGTTGAGTCCTCTGAGAAATTCAAAACTAAAACTGATAGGAATGTCATCCCCCGGGACCCGATACTGGTGGTGGCGGTCGGTGAATGAAGTATGCATGGAGAGCCAGGACAGTGGAGGTGGAGATAGGGTGGAGGTGGGTTGAGCGCAGCAGCAAAGCGGAAAGACACCTTGGGTGGACGTTCTTATCAACTGGGGCATGGTCTCTTATTGGCCATGACATGGCTTGGTCCAGCGATGATGGATCGTTTGTGATTAGCAGGATGTGCCGATTGGATGATGCATGTGGGGCTAGAGTCTTCCGGTTTTAATTTACGCCTAGGCTTCATTTTAACTGCATATTGTTGCATAGGTTAAGAAGTGAATTCAGTTTGGCTTCTTAGCCTCCAATCTTTTTCTTGCTCCTTATTGCAAACAAGTAGTTTACTATCAGCCAGTATGGGGCCATACATGAGATCCAGAGGGAAAACTGTAACCCGTATTCTTTACATAACTTAAAGTTGCAGGTATGTTTTCTCCTGTTTGACCTCACTAACTCTTTTTCTGGTTTTTAGGACCAGAACTCACACTTGCAGAACCCTACCTCCCAATCTGGTTGCTCAGTACTGGCACAACTCACTTTACTACTGCCAATATGTTTTTGAGTTTTATTCTTCCAGGACATGTAGTTGATGAGCATTACACACAGCACACAAACAAAAGCTCAATTGTAGATAACAATAGCCTGAAACCAGGTGAAGATTGCTTGATGTGTTGACATAGCTGTTGGAATGACCTATGAGGTGCAGTGGAGTCAAATTACAATTTCAAGCAATTGGGTTTGTCGTGAAAACTGGGGTTGGTCATACGCTTCCATATGACCAAACCCAGTTGGTCATATGGAAGCATTCTGCATTAACCTGAAAAGGTGAGATCTTTTCAGGTTAATGCCGAAAACAAATTATAAAGAGTTGAAAGGCTGAAGTAATCTTGCATTTTGATTTACTGATTATAAAACATATTTTTATATTTTAATTTACTGTTAATTACAAAGCAATTAATTTTGTATTCTTAATTATTGATAATCATATAAAGAGTTTGATGTAATAAAGAGAGGATTGAGAAATGAATAACAATGAAAAATGATGAATTAAAAGTTGATAATAGAATTAACCTTAGATGATTATTAAAAGAAGTTATGTTTTAAGAAATACATAAAAATATTATTGTGTTTAATGAAATGTGATGGTGAAACAGCAAATAAAGAACTGTAACTGAATCAGTTTGTGAAGTTTAGACAGGCAGGGGAAGTCCTGATTGCTTATTTTACCACTGCTCTGCACGCCACCCAAGGATCTCAAGATTACTGCAACAAACTTGGGGTTTAGACAAAGGTCACAGGAGTGATGAGGTCTGTGTGTTCAAATTACAACAATTAGCTCTGCTTTGTTTCGAGGCAACTGAGGATTTGGCTAGACAAGACTGACCATAGATATGAAAACCTTCTGTTGCTGAGAGTATGAGTATGCATTGAACTGCACACCAAAGCCTGACTCAGTAAATTAGTGATACAGTTTAGGGAAAGAAGTTAGGAAAGAATTGAGGTGATTTTGCTTAATTTGATTTTAATTCTTAACTTGTAATCATTGATAATTAATCTTTTAGTCATTTACCTCTGCTAAAGGCTTGCTTAATAAAGATGCATTAAAATTCTAATGAGATTTGTGGACAGTGAAATTAATTGAGTCATCTATTGATTCTGGTTTCTCTTTTTTGTAAAACACATGAACATGATTCTAGAAATGTGGTGGCTTCAGACTTTCCCTTAGTGTTTGTAAAATAATGACCTTGGGGCTTTATGTTGAGCCACTACAAGTTGACTAGCCAGTAATAAGTGTTCACTGTTGACAGAGAGAGCTGCCATTAACAAAAGTGGTTATTGGAGTTATGCAGTTTTGAGAGCTACTCAACTGATTGCTTCTTAACTGAGAAGGGTCATAACTTTTGGATTGTGGGTAGATAAAGCTAGATGAATCTCTCAACACCAGCTTAGACAGATTATCTCTTTTCAGGGTAAGACTCGAAGTTTTTAGAGATTTTCTGGACCCGTTAGACAGAGAGCTGGTCAGTAGTCAATCCATGGGAATTGTGAGGTTTAAGGCAGGGCTGGTAATTGTGCAATAAAAGGCTCTTTAAAGGTTAATACAGGTCAATCCCAACAAGTTTAGTGCAAATAGGATGAGTCTTGTGATTTAGAGACAACCATATGCAAACAGTGAGGGATTAAAATTTGCCATTCAGCCCCCCAAATGCTGGCGACAGCAGACAGTATTGAAAGGATTTACCATCAAGTTGTAATATTTCTATTTAACACAAGTTGAAATCTACATAAACCACAGAGTAAAAGGAAGAAACATTGTAGGGAAACAGGTTGAAAGGAGGCAGGTCTAAGATGTCAGAAAACGGCCATGTGAGCGTGATGAGCTCTGGTCTGTAATGATACAAATGAAGTTTGATGCTACTGGGAGCTCGTATGAGGAAGTTATTCCACCTTGATTGATGGCAAATGGTCAGATTTGAGACTTGGCAATGGTCACATGCTTTGATGTACAATTTTTTTTGATAACATCTGACCTTCAATGCTTCAAGACTGTCCTTTCTGACTTGATTAGGTCAAGGCAAGAAAAAAGAGTCACTTCCTGTTCTGAGGGGGTGGGGCTTAGATGACGTCAGCATATGACGTCATATAGTGATCATCAATTAATGATCACTAATCAATCAAATTTCATTTGTCAAGCACATTTCAGCAGCAAGGCATTTCAAAGTGCTTTACATCATAAACACAAAGTCATACAGCACAGAATAAACAATCAAAACATGCCAACTTATGCTAAGATGACAGTTACAGCATTTTGTTTGAGTATGCCAAGTTTGCTGCTCAGCCATTCCAGCTCAACTAATATGAAAGCTAAATTTTTTGATAACTTTTATAGTCTCACCTCATGACTCCGTCCAAACCAAAAATTAAGCAAATAGGGTGACATCCCTCACATTAGCTGGTGCTGTAGAGAGATTTGGCCATGCCCACTTGTGGGTACAGCGCTTTTTCACTGCATATACTGCTGCAATCCATTTGTCCATCTCCTGCTCTCTTCCCTTTATTCATGAACGTAAAGTTATTTAAACTCCACCTTGGGAAGGACACCCTCAACCCCCAACCCGGAGAAAGCACTCTACCCTTTTGTAGCTCTAGACGATGGCCTCGGATTTAGAGGCACTGATCTTCATCCCAGCCACAAACCACTCCAGCGAGAGCTTCAGGTCACGTTCCAATGAAGCCAATAGGACCACATATTCCGCAAAAAGCAGAGATGCGATCCCAAGGCCACCAAAACGGATCCCACAACACCTTGGCTAGTCAAGATATTCTGTTCATGAAAGTAAAGAACAGAATTGGTGACAAAGGGCAGGCCTGGTGGAGTCCAACTCTCACTGAAAGCTAGCCCAACTTACTGCCACCAATGTCGACCAGACTCTGACACCAGTCATACAGGGACCTGACAGCCCGTATCAAAGGGCCCTGACAGCCCGTATCAAAGGGACCTGACAGCCCATATCAAAGGGCCCTGACAGCCCGTATCAAAGGGACCTGACAGCCCATATCAAAGGGCCCTGACAGCCCGTATCAAAGGGCCCTGACAGCCCGTATCAAAGGGCCCTGACAGCCTGTATCAAAGGGACTTGACAGCCCGTATCAAAGGGCCTGCTACCCCATACTCCTGGAGAACCCCCCACAGTGCTCCCCGAGGGACCCAGTAGAACGCTTTCTCCAAGTCCACAAAACACCGGTTGGGTGAACTGAGGAGAGCTGACCCATTGTTCCACAACCACCATGACAGGCTAAATAACTCAAATTCTTACAGTTAATTATTGACTGTGTATTTCCAAAAATGGCCCGCCAGTCTCCTTCTGCTTTTTGTGTATTTTCAATTATGTTTCACCACCCAAGCCCAGTTCCTACCTCGCCTGTCTTTTCAGTGATGTCATCCAAACGCAGCATGATGACCTTTCCTCTGGCTCCGATGAAGAGCAGACCGATGTCTTCTCTGACCAGCAGGGAGCTCAAACCATCAAAGTCGAGCTCCTCAAACAGCTTCAGGTTAACATCTGAGGGAAACAATCCAACCGGCATCCTCAGGCTACTTTAGAAATCAGAGCATTTACTTCCGTGTGATGTTACTGTGGTGTTAATGTTTTTGACACTGACACTCATATGGACCCCATATTTATTAATTGGTAGACTTCTGAATTTAGATGACCTTCCTATATTTTATTTAGATATATCAGAGTAATTGGGGTAAAAAAAATGTTCATGTTACATTGGTATTATTTTTATCCTTTTCAAGACACTGGAGTTTGTGTTTACAATATGACAAAATGTGGAAAAGTTTATTTGGTATGAATACTTCTGCAACAGTCTGGACATTTAACTGTGTTTGCAGGTGCCTCATGTCAGAGGATTGTGTTTCCATGTTTTGGTTGTACTTTCTTAAATGTTATTTTAATCAGATCACTTTTATTGACATAATGTGATATAATAATTTTTATCTAAAAGTTGTTTTTATATATGCACACACTTGCTCACACATGCACATATTAGTTTGGAGCTGACTTCTCCACGGAACATCCTCTTTAGAGCATAACTGTTAGGTATCTCGGGGTGTTTGTTCCTGTTGATGGGGTTTTTTTATGTTTTTTTTCTGCAGTGCCATCATTCACCCACTAGATGGTGCCAGAGGCAGCCTCCCGACTGGCGGACCTGCGGTTCTGCACACCTGTTAATCATCGTCTATTATCCCGAGGGATAAGAGGAGTGGACTACCTGCACTTCTGCGCCCGAGTGTTGCCAGTAAACCAACTCTTAGAATCGTTTTGTTGCTTTCCTGTTAAAGGTGTTGTTTCCTGAGACATTTCTTGGAACCACCTCGTGAAGACCTCATTGTGGGTTTTTTTTCTGGATTGTTCCTTCCTCGTGACGCCGTGGACTGTACCCACTGGTTGCCCGAGTCCCGCTTTCATCTCCGCCGAAGAACCTCAAGCAGGATTAGGATCTGTCAGTCAGCAGCTGGTCCGCTCCTCTGTTTTCCCCTCTGCCACAGCCACCACCAGTGATACGAAACCACTTCGATCTGTCTGGCCTCTGGAACCCTGGTCATCACCCGAGCCCAGCCGAATGGAAACGAAACCCCTCCGAGTCCCCGGTCACCCCCCCTCACGCAGCTTTCTTTCACCATCACAAGTAAGATCTCTCCTGAATATCACCATAGCTCATATTTCTGACTACCTGTAAACTCACTATCTCTTCTGCTCCTTCCGCAGCGCTCCCTCAGCTCCATGAGCTTCCTTTTCCCTGGACCTAAATCGCTTCCTCCCGTTTAATTATTTTTTCTCAATAAACTACCTTTTACTAATTCCAGTTCTCCTGTGGTTAGAAAATTAGAATCAAACATGACAATAACTTGGTTCGGTGCCTAAAAGGACTTTAATCCTGTTGTTCTGACCACTCTGTTTTTACTTCCTTCAGTACACTTGGCAGTGTTGCAGTGCTGAACTAGCAAACTATTTCTGTTATTTTTATACATTGTCAATACTTACTTTGCTTTACAAAAATGGACTATTGGTTTTCACTCTGTTTCCTTGGTTACTAGAGAGAATCCCACTCCCAAGATAGAGTCCAGGTAGAACACTCACCTGAGAAGGAAACGCTCCGGCGGGGTTTCAGGCTTTGGGCAAATCCTCCACTCATAATGATCAGGACATAAAGGAGCTCTACCTGACTCTTCATCATACCCTCAGACAGGAAATGAAGAAAAACACATTTTATATACCAGTTGTTTTGGAAACAGCAGTTTTTGTCTTGTTTTAAAGTTGGACATCACAGCCTATTATAGCTAGAAGTTGTTAGCTGAAATGTCTCTGAAATATTCTGGATTTATGAATTATGAAATGAATCTCACAAACAAGTTTATTTACCTCTGATCCTTCCATTAGCATCTGTAGCATCTTGCTTAGATAATGACTAAACCATGCGTTATGTTTTATGCTGTTTCGTTATTTAAACAGTAAGTACGCTTAAGAAGAGCATTCTTGAGTACGGTGGATTAAAACATTCATTTTGTAAAAAAAGGTTGTGATGGCTTACCTGGTATGGGTGATTATGTAGAGGCAACTTACTTCTGATAACTCAGAGAACCAAAACATGTTTATTTTTAAAAGCAGGGGCAGCATCCTTTGAAGGCCAGATTTGTGGGTTGATTGCATCATAGCATGGCAACAGGGACTGTCTGAATTCAATGACTCCTCCAAATGCATTCACCACATGCGTCCTTTTCCCCAGATTTGAAGGAAACGTCCGGTGCATCCTTCATGACCTTCTGTATCCCATGTTTGCAAAGTGGGTGTTCAGACAAGGTGGCAATAGAATTACCATTTCATAGTGTGATAAAGCCAGCTCCAAAACAGTGCAAACAATGTAGGAAATATTTACAATACAGACATAAATATATTGATTATTACACTATTAAATCAATCAATTTATACATACATTCACACATGCACATATAATCAACATATAAGTTTTTCTAATACGAAGCCTTTGTTTTTTTATGGAATTATTAGCATATTAGCATCTTAAAACGTAAGATAAATTGACATCATTTCCACAGTGAATACTCGATCATTTGCAGCAAGTGGTGCATCTGCAGCCATGAAAAATACCTAAAAGGTCATCATGTAAAAATCATTATGTGGAAAATCTAATAAAAAAAAAATAAAAATAAAATCCCTGCTCCTCTGTACTCAATGTAATTCCATATAGATCTGAAATGGGGTTTACATTCATTGATTAATATTTAAATATCAAAAACATTCTTTATTTGGTTTTATTTATTTTTTACAAAAATTGAACCAGATGAAGCTAAAACTGCCACCAGAGGAGTTGTATCTAAAACAGATTGCAGACCATGTTTTTTTATTTTAAAAAGAAAATATAGTTTTGTAATTTGTTCTTAATTAGTGCTCATTGTTATTTTAAAAAATAGGCTTTTAGAGTCTGTATATAGTGTGGCTATCCAGTTATGGATAGCCACACTATAATCATTTCAGTCATTTATTTTTGCATTGGGTTGTCTACAGTACTTTAGAAAGTCAAATAGAAGTGGCTTGTTCTGTTATGAAACTATAAATTTACTGTTTTAACATCCCTTTTGCTTAGAATTCCCAACTGCCACTGTCACTCTCAACATTAATATCGCCAGCATCATTTTGAGAATTCTGTTTCCACCAGGTGTATATCTTTATCATGAAACACAGTGCACAAAAAATAGGTATAGCAGATATAACTATAGCGATGAACCATTTTACCCCAACCTCAGAAACCTTAATGTTGTACAAGATCACCGCTATCCTGTGCTCTCTGCCTTTAACTACTTCCACTGTCTCACAGGTGTAAAGGCCTTCATCAGTGAAGGAAGGTGTTAAAACGAGTCCCTGGCTGAGCAGAATGTGTCGGGGACCGGGCTCAAGGATGTTACCAGAGAAGCTCCAGCTGATGGGGAGATTGGTGTCAGGGGAGCAGGGGAGGAACTGTGCCACGTCAACTGTGAGGTGGATGTCGATAATCTTTGACACTGTGGGAGAAGCCAAAGCAGCCATAAAAATTCTCCTACTACTCTCCTCACTAAGGTAAAGGTGTGTAAAGAGCTTTATGTGGGGAATACTTGCAATGAGAGTTTGGGCAGATTCCAACATCACCATCAGTGAGGTTCTGGATCCTGCAACAAATGAATTCAATCCTCTGATTATAAATGTAGCACACAGTGAACATGTCTTAGTTAGTGTGACATACATGGAGAGGTTTGAAGCACCAGCAACAGCACACAGGCCTCTGAGACGGTCCCAGCCACAGTATGGATCTCTGGCAGTAAGGCAGTCGGCACAGGATGTGTAGCGGCTGCAGTCCCTCACACTGAGCTGAGCAACAGCAGTTCTAGTTGCACTGTACAGCTGACCCTGCAGATCATCAGAGTTCAAAGGTTAGCTCCAGGTCCATTTAGTCTACAGACATGTAGCTGTAACCTACACTTCTAGAGGAGAGCTGAAGGAAGCGAATGGGCTGAGGATCCTGAAACAGCTGCAACTCCTCAATGATTCGCCCTCCATCATCACCAGACCACACCGCCTTCTGCAGCCAACCAGAGTCTGAAGGACAGAAACAGAGGTTAACTCTGCGTGCCATTTGGAAAGTTACAGTGATGATTTAACAGCAATATCTTTGGGTTATTTAGTCTATCAAAGAAATTGTAACCACTGCATTATTCATTCATACATTTAGTGTGCACACTAAATATTTATATAGCAACCTTGGAGATTTACATCCTAAATAATTAGGTCAAAACTAAATGGAGAAATGGAATTACCAAATAATTAAATTCTTTATTGAACAAAATTGGTTTTTTAAATAAACCACATTCAATTTCCATCGTAGTTTGCCCTGCATTCAGCTGAACTGTTATTCTCAAGTTGCAACATCAACTGTCTTTGTTGCTCAAATCTTAAGGTGGGCATTAAAGTGACAAGATTAAGTGCTCTTGGTTCAAAAGTTGGTCATTGTGACGACTGTGGCGGTATGGCAGAGTTGTCATCTTGCGATTGGAAGGTTTAAAGTTCGATTCCAGCTTCCTCCTGCCACATGTCGATGTTCCTCTGGGCAAATTAACCCCAAATTGCCTACCGGTCTGCATATCAGTGTATAAATGTGTGTGCATTTGTGAGTGAATGGGTGAATGTGTTTTGTAGTGTAAAGCACTTTGAGTGGTCATAATGGCTGAAAAAGCGTCATATGAGTTAAGTCCATTTATCATTGCAAAACATTTTTGAACACATTTGCAACTGAAATAGCCTTCAAGTTCTCTTTCTAACAACAGCCATCAGTGTCTAAACCGTACTGCTTACCTTTTTAAAATAATTACTCTTTAGTGGAATAATATAAGAATGGAAAAAGCTGAGGATGCCTCAGAACAAGTAAACGTAATAGAGAGATCCCTCCATTTAAAGAATGGATATCATAGATAATGTAATATTTAGGTTGAGTTAAATATTTAATTTGGTACTATTGCAGTTAAAAAATAATAAATAACATGATGAATAGATGACATTGAAAAGTTAACAACTTCTTTCTCAATGACATGCTAAATTAATCAGTATAATACATAATGTAACGAATGGAACCCCAAAGATTTCTGTTATATTCACAGAATGAAACTGGTAATGTAGCTGTTTTGCATTTACTAATACAACCATTGTCCACACTGATCCTGCCAACGGCAAGATGTAAGTCATTATTTATGGTCCAGTTACTTACTGTTGCTAATAAACATGACGTTGTACTGCTGTCCATCCAGAGATGTTACTTTGTCAACAACAATTTTAGAGAACTGGGCCGTAGACTGGACCAGCAGGGGCCTCCCAGTGATCGGCATCACTCCTCCCTCCATCAGAGGGTGGTTTCTCGCAAATACAAGGGTTGAATCTGGGATGTTGTGAGAGGTCTTCACATTCTTGGCTCGCATTTCATCATTAATACACTGATAATACAGATCAGAGATCACATGAGGTGGATTATTTTCATTACTACTATTTCACATCAGTTTAGGTTTGGTGCTTACTGAACGAGGGTAGGTGTAGCTCTCTTTTCCTAAGTCCTTCACCCAAATTCCAGGAATTACTTCATGCAGAAGGTTCCCCCTGTAAACTTGCTGGATGTCTGATAGCTTGTAGGCACAGACAGCGGACTGACTGCAGGAACTGGATGTAGAGTTGGATGACCTGTGAATGAGGTCTTGTTAATTCCAGTTCAGGAACAGTTGTCTTTGTTTCTGAACCATCATCTTTGTGACAAGATGGCAGTGCAATATGGGTTTGTGTCACAAACTGGAACAGGTTTCAAATAAAATGTGAAATCTACATTTATAAAACTGGTGGTGGGAAAGTGACAGTGGAGGATTAGTTACTGAGCTTCATTGTTACAAAAATGAGAACTTTGTCTCAGGACGAAATGGTTTTTTTAGCCTCAATTTCTTGATGAGTCAAAGAGCCAATTGTTTGAATTATGCACAACTTTGATGTATTTCATCAAAACCCAAAGCTGCTCAAAAGGACTGTTTCAGGGTGCTTAATGATTATAGTGAAAACATACTGAGATTTGTTTCGCACTTTTGGATGTACTTCCACAAGCAAGGTGGCGCAGGTGAGCCTGGACATGTCTCGCCTATGGAAGATCTTGGAAACCCAGGCCACTGTGGATGAGAACCTGGAAGCGGTAGTGACAGCTCTGGATTGCCGGATGACTAAAATCGAGAACTGTGACTCGTACGGTCAAGTGCAACGGGCCAGTGTAATGTGAACACATTGCGAGAAAGTGTCACAGGAGCTGAGTACATCTGCTCACCACTCGCAAGTCCAGCTGTTGGAGAATCTCCCGAAATCCCTGACATGAGCCAAAGTAGTAAAGACAGGAATAGAAAAGCCTCAGAAATATATGCTATACAGCCCAGGAACGGAGAGTTTAATGATGCATCATGTTGACAGAGCCAAAACATGGCAATAACTGGTACCAGCACCGATAAACACATCTTTGTGGTCTAAATTAGGTTGGTGAGTGTTTTCGGAACATAATTTGTACTTAATCTCGACACTGACACCTGATGCTCTTTTCTTGCTCAAAAAGTGGGGAAGCCGGTGACATGTCAAAAAATCGATTCCAATCTTGAAATTTTTAAGATTCCTTGAGTTCCGGACAGTCCTGTGGAACAGTTCCCCGTTTATTTTTATGTTCTTTGGACCCCGACTTTTAAGTGGACTGCGTCAGCTTCATTTTATGAAAACAGGTCTGCCAAGAGAAGTTCAAAGGAGCTCTACTAAAGCACAGAGAAGGTTCAACGTGTCTCATGTCACTGCTGAATGTGAAGATGTGATGGACGTGTATGACCCACAGCTGTGGGTCATACAGTTCAATATTTGTTAATCATTTGATTTGATTCTATCTTGATAGTAGTCTGGTTCTATCCAGTAAGGTGTTACTACCTGTTCCTCATGGCTAGATAAGTTCAGCTGATACTCACCAGTCCACAGACTCAATGAGGATTTATTATGAGCTCTCTACTTCTGATCGTCTGCCTCTTTCTCTATCTGTAAATATTGCGAATATACCTGCTGTTCAGTCTGCTTACAATAGTGAAAACGAGACTGGTCTAATCTGACTGAGAAGGACTTTGACGTATATTTAGCTGAGTCTCGCTCTTTCCTGAATGATATTGAGCTGCCACGGGATGCTGTCGCAAGTTGTTACATTAACTGTAAAGACCCACTACATGGTGTAGTCTTGCAACTTGTATGACAATATTTTGAAGTCTTGTCGTGTCTCCAGTAGGGCATTGCATAAGACTAAGCTGAAAAAAGCAAAAACAGGCTGGAAGGGTCAGGAGCTTCATGCTGAGGCCAAGCGGACCTTTAAGGCTGGCGTTGGCAGAAGACGATCTTCTGTTTGAGAATACGAAACGGGCAAATGCAAATTTTAAATATGCCCTAGGTTTTATTAAAAGAAATGAGAATAAACTGAAATTTAATTTGCTTGCAAGAACAATTCAAAAGGACTGCACACATGATTTCTTGACGGAAAGAAAGAATATGAATAATTATTAAACAGGTCTGCCAACTAATATTGATGGCGTACATGGAGCAAATTGCTCAGATGTGGCAGAAGCATTATTATGAACCGTTTAACTAGGTTAATATCTCCCTGTTTATGGCAGACAAGATTACACATGATGAGCATGTGAAAGTTTCAGGTCAAGAAATGTATAATGCAGTGATGATCCTAGAGAACCATAAGGCTTGTGGTATGGATGAGATGTCTGCTCAGCACTTCAAATGTTCAAGAGGAGAACTCTTGCCTTTGCTTACTCTGAGTTTTACTTTTTTAGTCCATGGCACTTTACCTGATTCACTTTTAGCTTTTATATTAGTGGCTATTATAAAGGATAAAGCTGAAAAAACTAGAAAGTGCATTTCCTATGAAAATGCAAGTGTAAATGCTGAATAGTTTTGGTAAAAATGGCAAAAGTGTTTGAAGCCGGCCTGACACATTAACTGTGAAACACAAGACATTTCATATTGTAAATCTCAATTGTGCCACAGGATGTAGCTGCTTCCCCCATTTCTATGGGATGAAAAACTCATAAAAAGTATGAAGATTATGAATATCAAGAGATACAGTTCACATTAGGAGAGCAAGCTGAATGGAAATAATGGCACAAAGTCGGTAGGAGAAGAAGCGCGGCAATAAAAGAGCACCCAGAATAATAAAAATAAAAAAAGAATGAAGAGGAACAGGAACTCAAGAGTATGAATGACTACAGCATTCACACTAATTATCGGCCAGTGTACTATCCAAGGTTCTGAAGAGGATTGTATCAAGTAAGGTAGAACATTTTCTCCTTACTTCAGATAACCAGTTTGGTTTTAAATCACAGCATGGCAGAGATATGTATGTCTTTGCTTTAAAAGAGATTTTAGATTTGTAGAATAGGCACAACTCTAAAATATTTTGTTTTATTGATGCCTTGAAGGCTTTTGATTGGGTTAACCATAAAACATTTTGTAAGCGACACAACAGAGGGGTTCCTTAATCTGTTTGAATTTTTTCCTTGTGGTACACTCCTCAGGTAATGTACATAAGTTGGGTTAATTTTTTGTCTGCTCCTTTTAAAATAAGGAACTGGGTGAGACTGGGAAGTATTTTGTCTCCTCTTCTTTTTAATGTATAGTTGGATGATTTATCAAAGTGGCTACAGCACTGTGGGACAGGATGTGTTGTTGATGAGACCATAATTAACCATCTGATGTATGCCGATAATTTAGGGTTTTTTTAGTCCTTGTAGTGCTGGTCTTCAGAAATTATTAAGGACTTGCTCACAGAATGGTCAACAGTATAACATTATGTACAATTCTTTGAAAAGTAATATTATCATTACAAGAACCAAGGAGAATCAGAAGTTGGTACTTCCTGACTTATCCCTATCTGGAACAAGTCAGAGTCTACTGCTGTCAGATATTTGAGACATTATATAACTGATGATCTGACTGATGATATGGACATTTAAAGACAACTTTGTTGAATGCACAAGCTGACATGCTGGTATGCAAGTTTGTGATGTGTTCTGTCTCAGTGAAAGTAGCTCTTTTGAAAGTATTTTGCTGAGTCCAGGCAGACCTTTAAATATTTTAAATTTGATGTGATTCTATCTTGATAGTGAAAGTAGCTCTTTTGAAAGTATTTTGCTGAGTCCAGGCAGACCTTTAAATATTTTAAATTTGATGTGATTCTATCTTGATAGTGAAAATAGCTTATCTTGATGAAAGTAGCTGAGTCCCGGCAGACCTTTAAATATTTTGTATTTTGTACTCCTCTGTATACTGCTCACTTCTGGAGACAGTATAAACAAAGCAGTTTACAGAAACTCAAAGTGGCATATAATGATGGAATGAGGATGCTGCTCAGGATTCCAAGATGGATTAGTGCTAGTCAGGTATTTGTTGGTGTCTCCACTTTTTATGCTGTCTTACAAAAACTTGTGAACAGGTTTATGTGGAGGCTGTATTTCTACAAACATCATTCAGATACTAACAGATATTTCACAAAGCTCAGTCATGTTGTCCAGTCCAGAATGTGGGATCACTGGCGGTCGAGCCTTTCTGTTAATCAGTGACTTGTATGTATGATTATTATCTTGCTATATGATTGTTTCATCTTTATAAATTGTACACACTTTATACTTCCAAATATGCTTTTTAGTTTTAGTAATGCCAACGGAGGAAATTAAGGGAGCCGTTTGGTCCTTCTTGACTGTGCCACCAGGAAGCAGCTGCTTCTCCATTATCAAGAGTCCAGACCCTCTGTAGTAGCATTGCTCCCAGGAATTCAGCTTCATAAGTTTAATTTTCTTTCAAATGTTTCAGATGTACTCTCCAGAAAAATCCTTGATTAGGCAAATTTTCTACAAATGTCTGGGAATTGACAGGGGTCATTTACTCTAACTGTGGCAACTGAACATCAAAATCAATTTATTTTCATCACTGTACAGTCACAAAGCTACATACGACGAGGTTAATATTCTGAATTCTGCACATTGAAACATTACTTACGGACTAGAGGTGAATGTTGCATAGAAGAGGCTCTCTGTCACATTATTTTCATCATTGACAAGAAAGACACTCTGCAACAGAGATATTGAACCTTTCTCTCCAAACGGGCAGTCTAAACGGGCTTTCAGGAAAGAAGTCCTTTTTCTCCGAAACTACAAAGCCTCCCAAGTCACCCTGAATAAACACAAATATCAAACATTAAAGCTGCAATATGTCATCGTCATAAAAATATTTTTATGGATAATCTCTATCTTGAGTGAGCCGCTGCATCCTATCTTTTAAGGATGTAGCTTAAAAAAAACCTAACTCTGTCTTTTGCCTATGCTCCCATTGCAAACTCGAAACAATTACCCATAGCCAGGAGGAGGGTCTTGGTGCTTTCAGTCATTCATTTGTGAGGCGCCTCAAAGCCCACCCTCTCTCCTTGCTTTCGGCTGTGCTGCAGCTGAGCTACTTAGCCCATAAGCTAGTTAGCATGGGGATAGATGATGAGCATGTGAATGAGGATTATTGGCAATGCTAAGACCTTCCTCCAGGCTCCAATTGGCTGTTTTGGGTCCGGGTGGCTCAGGAGCGGTTCTTTTCTTCAGATATTAGTAGGAAAGAAAACATGTGGAGGAGATCCATCTTTTCACAGCTTATCCTCTTACATACTGTCACAACATAGTGACAATTTTACGAAATATGCTAAAAATAACTTACTTTACACAATCGTGCAACTCTCGACAAACGGAGGTTGCTGCGTCGTTCCTCCACGGCAATCTCAGTAAAGAACACGAATAAATTGTCATCCTCTCTGTTCTCTGAACTTTTGCTGGTTTCAGCAACGTTTATGGAAATCATGATGGGGTCTGAGTTCATAACATTGAAAATTATGGAGTTACATGTCACAGGATAGAATCTGAAGTAAAAGAACCTTTAACTGGGTCAAGCTGTCAACTTACCATTGAACCAAGATATTTTATCTTCAGTAGAGAGAGAAATGCTCTCTGGAATGCTTCTCAGGAAAGCCTTTTTTCTTCCTATGACGTCTACAGAACCAGCTGTATAGAATGTGTTTTCTGTTGTGAGCAGAAGAAAAAGTTTTACAATTTCTGAAACCGATCTTTTGAAAAACATTCCTTGAGCATGGGTGGGATTTACTGACACAATAAACCTGCAGCTGTTTAGCTCCAGAGAAAAAATTTATAACAGCTTCAAGGAAGAATCTGCCTTAGTCTTGAACTGGATGTGGTGAGGATGTCCTGTTTGTCAAAGCCAGGTTGAGGCAGTTTCAAAATGTGAGCAAGACAGGAAAGGAGTTAAACTCAATTAGGCTTTTTAGCAGCTGATTAAAAAGTTTTAAACTCAAAAATTGATGGGGTCTTCAGAGGACAGCAGGGGTTGCTGGTAGAAAAATTTACAATTCTCTTGGGAGTGTATCCCTCAAAAAAATGAACCCATTTAAATAAGAAATCCTTCCATGGGTGATGCCACAATAGAGAGCATTAATTTTAGAGAGCATTAAGGGATTAATGTGGGAATATTTCGGCTGCAGTGAGAAGACAGATGGCATCTTTGCAGAATAACGGTGTTCTGAGAGTAAAACGTGTTTACGGACAGCAGCAAGCAGACAGGCGAATTCTCATTTTATACAGCTGCCATTGGTAGCTGTTTTGTCTCTTGCTCCAATTTCCTATTTTTTTCATCTAGTTACAATCCTGCAGCTCAAAGTCCAAGTACTGCTAATTTGTTGAAACATCAAGAAGAGAGCGAACTCTCAGAAGTAGGAAGAGTTCAAGTTCACTGGTTGATGTTTTATGCAGGTCAGATCAAATGTACAACTATGAAGATGTAGGAGAACAACTAAACATTTTATATGATGACGTTTCTCAATGCTCAATGAGATGAACACTGAGGGACATGAGAGAAAGTGTTGCACCAACCATTCATCAGGGAGACAAAGTCTTCATGGGGGTCAAAGGGTGCTCTCCCCTGCCCTCTGAAGTTGTGGTTTCCATGCTGACTTTTCCTCCTTTGAACAACTGAAGAAACATTAAATAATCTAGAATATTTAGAAATGGTGTTACTTATTTTCCATGCATTTGCTTTAATTCTGACTATTGAATCAAAAAACCAAGAGAACAGTATAAAATCTCTGTGCAGCCTGTTTTACATCCTTTAATGCCATTATTTTATTACAATAAATAAAATTCTGCCAACACAGTTAAAACCCAGTGCATCTTCCTAGCTGATGGGTCTGTGTCACTAGTCCAGCCTTAAGTCTCACATACGTGGAAACAAGCACTGTATATTTTTGTGATAGATGAATATAAATGTGTGTCCACATGACATGGTGCAGCATCATACAAAAGGATGCAGTAAATATGCCTGGACAATTTGCCAATTAGGTGTCGCTATGTAGTGATATTGTAAAACAGAAACCTCAGTGCTGCTTCCTGGTTTAAAATGATGTTGCGCCTCATGTATATGTGTTGGGTGCCTCATGGATGTGTATAAATTTTCCCAGCTGAAATGAAGTACAGTGAATCTGTGGATCCACATCCTGGATGACAAAAAGCTTTTGCCTTTGTGTCCCTGGGGCCTGCATTATGAGAGGAACCTACCAGGTGTGTGCACAGAGGTTTGAATGCCCGGGTTCCACACGTGAAGATTCTGCTGTCATTCAGAGTGTGCAGTGTCGTGATGTAATTTTCACAGTCCTGTTAGAAGAACCGTTGTTTCTCCAAAAACATTTTAAGAAAATATTTTCTCATGTGAATGTGCTCAAATGTACCTCTTTGCTCTTGCCTATAATCAAGCACTCAGATATTTCTCCAGAGGTCACTCTCCATTCAATCTGAAACAAAACAGATCAGGACGTTAATTTGTTTGCTCCATTCATTGGCAAAGAAATTCAGTTGCAAAGTCCAATTTTTTAAAGTTATGTTTGAAATATATACAACATTTTTAAAATAACCAAAGTACATAATCACTTAATTGTGTTATAAAATTGTACTATGTGGCTGGAAAGCACATAAACCTGCCCCTCACTGCTTTATGTGTAGCAGTGAATGAGCAACTCCAAAATCCCTGAAGATGTTATTGAGACAAAGGTTATGACATTATAATGCTTCCTATGAACAAACTATATAAATATCGATATACAGTCAACATTTAATCCTCTACTGGGGATCTAAAAGGGTTATTTTTCTAATTATGAAGTATGAAGATATTCAGTGAATTGTTGTGCTAGATAGAACTAAATTGTTTATTGCATCACTTCCATAATTGTTAAGTGTTGATATGATTTTTTGCTGTTACAACAGACGACTCATTACTTAACCAATGGCACCCTCCAGTATCCCTAAGTATTGTGTGCACTGTTCAGGTTCGCAAACCCGTTCCACCCAAGCCCAGTTCCTACCTCGCCGGTCTTTTCAGCGATGTCATCCAAACGGAGCGTGATGACTTTTCCTCTGGCTCCGATGAAGAGCAGACCGATGTCTTCTCTCACCAGCAGGGAGCTCAAACCATTAAAGTCAGGCTCCTTAACAGCTTCAGCTTAACATCTGAGGGAAAGAATCCAACCGGCATCCTCAGGCTACTGTACAAATCAGATATTTACCTCAGTGTGACGTTACTGTATGCCATTCTCAATGTTTTGACATTGACACACATGGACTCGGACTATCAATTCGAGACTTCTGAGTTTAGTTTACTCCCTGTATTTCACTTTGAGATTAGAATAAAAAACGTAGAAAGCATTTTTGTCGACAGGGTGTGAATACTTCTGCATTGATCTGGACATTTCAAAGGTGCTGCAGAGATGCCTCACCTGAGAAGGAAATGCTCCGGCGGGGTTTCAGGCTTTGGGCCAATCGTCCACTCATAATGATCAGGACATAAAGGAGCGCTACCTTACTGTTCATCATACCCTCAGACAGGAAATGAAGAAAAAACACATTTTAAATAACAGTTATGGAAACAGCAGTGGAAATGGCCATGATAATACAAATCAGAATTGGGTCACTTCAAGCTGCAATGTGAACGCAGCCAAGAAGTATTCTGACACTTTTTGTGAATGATTTATTAGGCTGTGTTTACACTGCAGCTTGAATTGACCCGTGCAAATGACCTGGAAGTGTCCCAATTGCCCAGCAGAGGGCGCAATAATGCCTGCGTTCTCAGTCTTCTCCCAACCTCTATGAAAAGAAGAAGTGCTCAGTGTTTGGGGGAAGCAAACATGTATGCTAACAGTGGAGCATAGCTTACACATCTGCAGCATATTAACAACTTAATCCTCATAGGCCGCCATGTTTGTTGTTAGTCTTCCCGCTTGTGTATCAGGATGCAGAATAATGACGTTTGGCAAGTATCAGTGACATTCAGGTGGGATAAATGCAATCTGGATATTAGGTCGCGTTTGAATCAGATACGTATGGGATACCCAAGTGGCCAGGGTTGCATTCAAAAATAATCCGACCTTTGTTCTTCAGACTGTCATGAAAAGATCGTATACAGGTGGCGTTACTTCAAAAAGATTGGAATTGGGACAGTTCAGGCTGCATTGTGAAAAGCCTTAGATTTCTGTTTGGATTTAAGCTGTTTGTTTGTAAATAAAATATTACATTACTGAAAACATCAATACGTTTAAGAAGTGCATTATCAAAAATGGTCGACTTAGACATTTAATTTCTTTAAATAAAACAAGATGTGATTGCTTACCTGTGATGGATGGCTATGTAAAGGCAATTCTTCTGATAACATTTTTGAAAACAGGAACTGCAACAAAGATTTGGTTCTGAGCCGAAAGTTCTGCATCAACTGGAAAGAAGAGTTATTCCCCATTAGATATTAGAATGTTTCTTTTTAAAATAAACATGTTTTGGTTTCTCATAGTTATCAGAAGTAAATTGCCTCTATATAACCACCCATAATAGCCTCAGCTGAAGCTAGGCTATCTGATAGCTATATTGTCTGTATTAAACAGGAAATAAACTGTTATTTTTAACATCATAGAAGTTGTGTTTGTTTTCTTCATTTCCTGTCGAGGTCATGATGATGAGTCATGTAGCGCTGCTTTATGTTCTGGTGATTATGAGTGAAGTTTCAGCCCAAATCCTGAAACCCTGCTGGAGAGTTTTCCTCGCAGGTGAGGTATCTCTGCAACAGCAGTCAATCCAACCTAGAGATTCACAAACCCACCAACAAAATGGAATTAAGAAGTTTTATTGACATGAAAGAATTAAAGTTCTTTGGTGCTCGAACACCAGCAAAAGACAGTGCTGTGGACTGCGATAAGCTTGGACAAGCAGTTTGCAATGACGATTTAAGAGGTCTTCTCCCCATTCACTGGTGGTAGAGGTCAGAGAATGGATGGAAGCCTGAAGGAGCCGGGTGCTTAGAGTTGGAGAAGGGACAGAGGTGGGTTGATTATGGCTGGTTAACCATCAACTGTTTATGTAATCCTGTAAACAGTCAGTGATTTCCAGGCTCAGTTCTATAACCCTGTTTGGGATAGGATCAATTCAAAATATAGCAATAAGAATGGAGAAAGCCATTTCATCATCTGTGCTGAATAATCATCTCTTAATTGCAGCTTTTTCAGAATAGAAAGCATAAAAAATTATAAAATTTTTCATAATTCACTAAACTGTAAAAGGTTTTTCCTGGGAGAAATTGATTCTTGAGAATATTTGGGAATCAAGGCAAACACCAGAAATATGCTCCGATATTAACCCCAAATATATAGAATATTTTTTTTAATAAGCTTTCATCTGTCATATGCATTGACCATTACTGTTTAGTATTTGTGGGAGATTTCAACTAAATCAGCCTTCTATCACCTGAATGTCATGATTTCTGGTGGTGAGGTAGATGCAGTGGACCCAAATATGCTTATACTGATATTAAAATTTTCTGAATGTTGCTACATATATTCTTCAGTATTTTTCAAAGACAATTATTTCAAGTTTAGTTATCTATTACTGCCATCTTGTGGCAGCATCTAGATTTTGAGTATTTGAAAACAATTCAGCAAGAACAGTCATTAGCTCCTCATCATTTAGTGCTGTATATCAGAGTGGTCTAGTTTCTAATGTTTATCTCATTATTTCAAGTCTCTTGAAAGAGTTGTTGATGCTGACGGCTGTGAGCAGGAAGCATTTCCTGTAGCAGCCTGTGTTACAACCTCTGACTGAAGATACTGTTTTTCTGAGACAGTCTTGTGACAAGGATGCTCAGGGTTGGTCATTCTCTTCCATAATGAACATTATTGGTGGTTCATACTACTAATAATAATTATTTGAGTGTGTGCTTTCTTAGCTTTGATTAAAGTAATGACTGATTTTTCTCACACATGAATTCAGGTGACAGCTTGAAAGAAGGCAGAAATGTCACCTGGCTGAATACGTCAAACTTAAAAAGCCGAAGCTCAGGAGGAACAGTGTAAAGAGTTTTTGTATGGCAGTAATCAGGATTATTAGTTGCAATGTACGGCCAGTACGGGGCCATACATGGTTCTTCATGGTCTCTTTCAATTTGATCTTTTTATGTTGTGTCATTGTGATTAGGGTTAACGACCTGCCTTTACTACAGTATTACAGACCACTTAGAAATACATGAAAATCAAGCATTAATGGACAAAACTTGACTAAGTTCAATAAATCAAGCTGATGCTTCTGCAGGATTTTTAAATATTTTTTAAACAAGTGGTTAATCCACGCACTAAATCCCGTAGATGACCCCCTTCAAGTGGAAACTCCTAGGAGGTACATTTAACCAACATAATAAGTTACTATACTTTTTGTGTGCTTCATCAAATTTTGAATAACATTGGAAGTACTCCTACATCAGTAGCTCTGTTTATTATTTTTACATCAATGATTGCCTGGCCAATTAATGTGACAGAGTAGATCCTCTTAACCACTGACAAATGTGTCAGAACCACATGAACTGAGCTGGTTTTGTCAGCTTTAGCTAAGTTTTTTCTCAATAAAATGACTTCTCATATATCAAGATGTTCTGGTAAAATTGCATCTTTATTCTGCTAATGTGACTGCATTCTCATGATTACTTGTACTTAAAAATACTTGTAGCCTGAGCATAATACTCCATTATAGAACCTACAGAAGGGATGATTGAAATAAAGCCACTTTGTGAAAGTATTTTTTTTTTAAGAAAAGAAAATGGAGTGTTGGGTGATTACATTTAAATCTGGTAGAAATAAAACTTAATTTGTATCATCGAACACATATTGGTATGTTGAATTAATTTACTGCTTAATACTCATATTTCTTTGCTGGTATTACTTGAATGTGTTTGTAATATTTCTGTAAAGCTAAAAGTATATTAAATTTCTAAATTTTGTGTAAATGGTTTATGACCAATAAGGTTAGTGGGCTTGTTTCTCAGAAGATAGTTGTGACTCATGAAGGAGCTGACAGACTATAAGTTTGCAGTTGCGAGTGCCTTATATTTATAGTAAGAAAAATTCTATACATATTTACAACATCAGTGAAAAACATCCAAATAGCCATATAAAATTCACAAGAAAAAAACAAAAATCAACCAACACATCTCCCAATGTGTCCTTTTCTTTCATAGTTCCCTGCTCCAGTTAATAACTACCAGATAGGTAGACTTGCCTTAGGACATGTTCAGGCTTGCCTCTGCACCCTCAAATTATCCCTATTCTTTACTTGTTTGATTATATTTAATTATATTCTTATACATGCTGTACGATTACCATAATAATAAAACAATCATATTTTAATCCATTTCTTTACCCATAACTGCTTTTAATAATCATTAGATCTTAACATTGTTATCAACTTGTAATTCATTCTTTGTCATATTGTTCAGTTTTAATCACATCCAGATTCTTTATTTAATCATGAAAATCAGAAAGTACTCTCTTTAGAATCATCAGTATATTAAACACAAAAGTATATATATATCTTCTAATCATTATTAATCACCATGAAAGATTACTTCAGTCTCTCAGGCCTTTATGATCTGTTTTGCGAGTAAACCTGGAAAGATCTCACCTCCTCATGACAGTTTTCACAACACTACAAATACACAAGAAATGATTTCAGCACTGTTGTTTCTTTATTTGTTTTTTGCCATTTATGTCTGTCAACCATTTGCTTTATGTTCTTAAGTGAGTTTATTCTTAAATGTTGCCAATGTTCTATTTTCTATAGCCTTAGCAGATAATTTCAACCTGCTGTTCAGTCTTAAAGTTTCAGCCCTCATTCCCAGTCCTCGTTACAAGCATAAATAACCACACTTTCAACATTTTCGTCATTTATTTTTACAGAGTTGATAGCAGTGATGTACAAAGTGTAACAGAAGTAGGTTGTTTGGTTATCCAACTATAAATCTGTTTTAAACAGGAGATTTTGCCCTCGTTTCCACCCAAGTTGGATTAATTACCTTAGTACCAGGACCAGGACTCTGGTTGTGGTTCTTAGGACCAGAACTCTCACTTGCAAGACCCAGGCTTTGACTGTGGTTAGCTAGTGTTAGCATAACTCTCACTGCTGCTGCCAACATGTTTTTCTCTTTTCTGCTTCCAGCATGCGTAGATGATGATCATTCCAAACAGCACACAAACAGAAGCTAAAATGTAGGTAATTGTACCCTGAGACCCGTTTACCTCCCTCTCCTTTCTCTCCTTTGTAAGCTTTACATGGTACCGGATCACGGCCATCCTGTGCTTTCTTCCTTTAACTACTTCCACTGTCTCACAGGTGTAAAGGCCTTCATCAGTGAAGGAAGGTGTTAAAACGAGTCCCTGGCTGAGCAGAATGTGTCGGGGACCGGGCTCAAGGATGTTACCAGAGAAGCTCCAGCTGATGGGGAGATTGGTGTCAGGGGAGCAGGGGAGGAACTGTGCCACGTCAACTGTGAGGTGGATGTCGATAATCTTCTTTGACACTGTGGGAGAAGCCAAAGCAGCCATAAAAATTCTCCTACTACTCTCCTCACTAAGGTAAAGGTGTGTAAAGAGCTTTATGTGGGGAATACTTGCAATGAGAGTTTGGGCAGATTCCAACATCACCATCAGTGAGGTTCTGGATCCTGCAACAAATGAATTCAATCCTCTGATTATAAATGTAGCACACAGTGAACATGTCTTAGTTAGTGTGACATACATGGAGAGGTTTGAAGCACCAGCAACAGCAGCACACAGGCCTCTGAGACGGTCCCAGCCACAGTATGGATCTCTGGCTGTAAGGCAGTCGGCACAGGATGTGTAGCGGCTGCAGTCCCTCACACTGAGCTGAGCAACAGCAGTTCTAGTTGCACTGTACAGCTGACCCTGCAGATCATCAGAGTTCAAAGGTCAGCTCCAGGTCCATTTAGTCTACAGACATGTAGCTGTAACCTACACTTCTAGAGGAGAGCTGAAGGAAGCGAATGGGCTGAGGATCCTGAAACAGCTGCAACTCCTCAATGATTCGCCCTCCATCATCACCAGACCACACCGCCTTCTGCAGCCAACCAGAGTCTGAAGGACAGAACCAGAGGTTAACTCTGCGTGCCATTTGGAAAGTTACAATGATGATTTAACAGCAATATCTTTGGGTTATTTAATCTATCAAAGAAATTGTAACCACTACATTATTCATTCATACATTTAGTGTGCACACTAAATATTTATATTATTTAGATTATTTACATCCTAAATATTTAGGTCGAAACTAAATGGAGACATGGAATTACCAAATAATTAAATTCTTTATTGAACAAAAATTTTTTTTTAAATAAACCACATTCAATTTCCAACGTAGTTTGCCCTGCATTCAGTTGAACTGTTATTCTCAAGTTGCAACATCAACTGTCTTTGTTGCTCAAATCTTAAGGTGCGCATTAAAGTGACAAGATTAAGTGCTCTTGGTTCAAAAGTTGGTCATTGTGACGACTGTGGCGGTATGGCAGAGTTGTCATCTTGCGATTGGAAGGTTTAAAGTTCAATTCCAGCTTCCTCCTGCCACATGTCGATGTTCCTCTGGGCAAATTAAGTCTATCAAAGAAATTGATAGACGTAATTGCCTACCGGTCTGCATATTAGTGTATAAATGTGTGTGCATTTGTGAGTGAATGGGTGAATGTGTTTTGTAGTGTAAAGCACTTTGAGTGGTCATAATGGCTGAAAAAGTGTCATATGAGTTACAGTTAGGGCCAGAAATATTTGGACAGTGACACAGGTTTTGTTATTTTAGCTGTTGACAAAAATATGTTCAGAAATACAATTTATATATAATATGGGCTGAAAGTGCACACTCCCAGCTGCAATATGAGAGTTTCCACATCCAAATCGGAGAAAGAGTTTAGGAATCATAGCTCTGTAATGCAGAGCCTCCTCTTTTTCAAGGGACCAAAAGTAATTGGACAATGGACTCCAAAGGCTGCAAGTAAATCAAAAGGCCTTTCCCTCGTTAACCTGTAATCAAGTAAGTAGTTAAAAGGTCTGGGGTTGTTTCCAGGTGTGTGGTTTTGCATTTGGAAGCTGTTGCTGTGACCAGACAACATGCGGTCAAAGGAGCTCTCAATTGAGGTGAAGCAGAACATCCTGAGGCTGAAAAAAAGGGAAAAATCCATCAGAGAGATAGCAGACATGCTTGGAGTAGCAAAATCAACAGTCTGGTACATTCTGAGGAAAAAGGAATTGACTGCTGAGCTTGGGAACTCAAAAAGGCCTGGGCGTCCACGGAAGACAACAGTAGTGGATGATCGCCGCATACTTTCTTTGGTGAAGAAGGACCCGTTCACAACATCAACTGAGGTCCAGAACACTCTCAGGGAAGTAGGTGTATCTGTCTCTAAGTCAACAGTAAAGAGAAGACTCCATGAAAGCAAATACAAAGGGTTCACATGTAGATGCAAACCATTCATCAATTCCAAAAATAGACAGGCCAGAGTTAAATTTGCCCAAAAACACCTCAAGAAGCCAGCCCAGTTCTGGAAAAGTATTCTATGGACAGATGAGACAAAGATCAACCTGTACCATAATGATGGGAAGAAAAACGTTTGGAGAAGAAAGGGAACGGCACATGATCCAAGGCACACCACATCCTCTGTAAAACATGGTGGAGGCAACGTGATGGCATGGGCATGCATGGCTTTCAATGGCACTGGGTCACTTGTGTTTATTGATGACATAACAGCAGACAAGAGTAGCCGGATGAATCTGAAGTGTACCGGGATATACTGTCAGCCCAGATTCAGCCAAATGCTGCAAAGTTGATTGGACGGCGCTTCACAGTACAGATGGATAATGACCCCAAGCATACAGCCAAAGCTACCCAGGAGTTCATGAGAGCAAAAAGGTGGAATATTCTGCAATGGCCAAGTCAATCACCAGATCTTAACCCAATTGAGCATGCATTTCACTTGCTCAAATCCAGACTTCAGACGGAAAGACCCACTAACAAGCAAGACCTGAAGGCTGAAGCTGTAAAGGCCTGGCAAAGCATTAAGAAGGAGGAAACCCAGCGTTTGGTGATGTCCATGGGTTCCAGACTTAAGGCAGTGATTGCCTCCAAAGGATTCACAACAAAATATTGAGAAAAAACTTTTTTGTTTGGGTTATGTTTATATGTCCAATTACTTTTGAGCTCCTAAAATGTGGAGTGTTTGTAAACAAATGTGTACAATTCCTACATTTTCTATCAGATATTTTTGTTCAACCCTTTAAATTAAACGTTACAATCTGCACTTGAATTCTGTTGTAGAGGTTTCATTTCAAATCCAATGCGGTGGCATGCAGAGCCCAACTCACAAATATTGTGTTACTGTCCAAATGTTTCTGGCCCTAACTGTAAGTCCATTTATTATTGCAAAACATTTTTGAACACATTTGCAACTGAAATAGCCTTCAAGTTCTCCTTCTAACAACAGCCATCAGTGTCTAAACCATACTGCTTACCTTTTTAAAATAATTACTCTTTAGTGGAATAATATAAGAATGGAATAAACTGAGGATGCCTCAGAACAAGTAAACGTAATAGAGAGATCCCTCCATTTAAAGAATGGATATCGTAGATAATGTAATATTTAGGTTGAGTTAAATATTTAATTTGGTACTATTGCAGTTAAAAAAATAATAAATAACATGATGAAAAGATGACATTGAAAAGTTAACCACTTCTTTCTCAATGACATGCTAAATTAATCAGTATAATACATAATGTAACGAATGGAACCCCAAAGATATCTGTTATATTCACAGAGTGAAACTGGTAATGTAGCTGTTTTGCATTTACTAATACAGCCATTGTCCACACTGATCCTGCCAACGGCAAGATGTAAGTCATTATTTATGGTCCCGTTACTTACTGTTGCTAATAAACATGACGTTGTAATGCTGTCCATCCAGAGATGTTACTTTGTCAACAACAATTTTAGAGAACTGGGCCGTAGACTGGACCAGCAGGGGCCTCCCAGTGATCGGCATCACTCCTCCCTCCATCAGAGGGTGGTTTTTTGCAAATACAAGGGTTGAATCTGGGATGTCGAGAGAGGTCTTCACATTCTTGGCTCGCATTTCATCATTAATACACTGATAATACAGATCAGAGATCACATGAGGTGGATTATTTTCATTACTACTATTTCACATCAGTTTAGGTTTGGTGCTTACTGAACGAGGGTAGGTGTAGCTCTCTTTTCCTAAGTCCTTCACCCAACCTCCAGAAATTATCTCTTCCAGAAGATTCCCCCTGTAAACTTGCTGGATGTCTGATAGCTTGTAGGCACAGACAGCAGACTGACTGCATGAACTGGATGTAGAGTTGAATGGCCTGTGAATGAGGTTTTGTTAATTCCAGTTCAGGAACAGTTGTCTTTGTTTCTGAACCATCATCTTTGTGACAAGATGGCAGTGCAATACGGGTTTGTGTCACAAACTGGAACAGGTTTCAAATAAAATGTGAAATCTACATTCATAAAACTGGTGGTGGGAAAGTGACAGTGGAGGGGGAGTTACTGAGCTTCATTGTTACAAAAATGAGAACTTTGTCTCAGGACGAAATGGTTTTTTTAGCCTCAAACAATTTCTCCTCTGAGTGGATTGATGAGTTAGAGACAATTGTTTGAATTATGAACAACTTCAATGTATTGCATCAAACCCAAAGCCGCTCAAAAGGACTGTTTCAGTGTGCTTAACGATTATAGTGAAAACATACTGAGATTTGTTTCGCACTTTTGGATGTACTTCTACAAGAAGGGTGGCGCAGGTGAGCCTGGAAATGTCTCGCCTAAGGAAGATCTTGGAAACTCAGGCCACTGTTGATGAGAACCTGGAAGCGGTAGTGACAGCTCTGGATTGCCGGATGACTAAAGTCGAGAACTGTGACTCGTACGGTCAAGTGCAACGGGCCAGTGTAATGTGAACACATTGCGAGGAAGTGTCACAGGAGCTGAGTACATCTGCTCACCACTCGCAAGTACAGCTGTTGGAGAATCTGCCAAAATCCTTGACAAGAACCAAAGTAGTAAAGACTGGGATAGAAAAGATATACGCTATAAAGCACAGGAACGAAGTGTTTATTGACGATGCATAATGTTGACAGAGCCAAAAGATGGCAATAACTGGTACCAGCAATGATAAAAACATCTTTTTGGTCAAAATTAGGTTGGTGAGTGTTTTTGGAACATAATTTGTACTTAATCTCGACACTTGACACCTTATGCTCTTTTCTGGCTCAAAAAGTGGGGAAGCCGGTGACATGTCAAAAAATCGATTCCAATCTTGAAATTTTTAAGATTCTTTGAGTTCCGGACAGTCCTGTGGAACAGTTCCCCCTTTACTTTGATGTTCTTTGGACCCCGACTTTTAAGTGGACTGCGTCAGCTTCATTTTATGAAAACAGGTCTGCCAAGAGAAGTTCAAAGGAGCTCTACTAAAGCACAGAGAAGGTTCAACGTGTCTCATGTCACTGCTGAATGTGAAGATGTGATGGACATGTATGACCCACATCTGTGGGTCATACAGTTCAATATTTGTTAATCATTTGATTTGATTCTACCTTGATAGTAGTCTGGTTCTATCCAGTAAGGTGTTACTACCTGTTCCTCATGGCTAGATAAGTTCAGCTGATACTCACCAGTCCACAGACTCAATGAGGATTTATTATGAGCTCTCTACTTCTGATCGTCTGCCTCTTTCTCTATCTGTAAATATTGCGAATATACCTGCTGTTCAGTCTGCTTACAATAGTGAAAACGAGACTGGTCTAATCTGACTGAGAAGGACTTTGATGTATATTTAGCTGAGTCTCGCTCTTTGCTGAATGATATTGAGCTGCCACGGGATGCTGTCGCAAGTTGTTACATTAACTGTAAAGACCCACTACATGGTGTAGTCTTGCAACTTGTATGACAATATTTTGAAGTCTTGTCGTGTCTCCAGTAGGGCATTGCATAAGACTAAGCTGAGGAAAGCAAAAACAGGCTGGAAGGGTCAGGAGCTTCATGCTGAGGCCAAGCGGACCTTTAAGGCTGGCGTTGGCAGAAGACGATCTTCTGTTTGAGAATACGAAACGGGCAAATGCAAATTTTAAATATGCCCTAGGTTTTATTAAAAGAAATGAGAATAAACTGAAATTTAATTTGCTTGCAAGACAAATTCAAAAGGACTGCACACATGATTTCTTGACGGAAAGAAAGAATATGAATAATTATTAAACAGGTCTGCCAACTAATATTGATGGCGTACATGGAGCAAATTGCTCAGATGTGGCAGAAGCATTATTATGAACCGTTTAACTAGGTTAATATCTCCCTGTTTATGGCAGACAAGATTACACATGAGCATGTGAAAGTTTCAGGTCAAGAAATGTATAATGCAGTGATGATCCTAGAGAACCATAAGGCTTGTGGTATGGATGAGATGTCTGCTCAGCACTTCAAATGTTCAAGAGGAGAACTCTTGCCTTTGCTTACTCTGAGTTTTACTGGGTTTTTAGTCCATGGCACTTTACCTGATTCACTTTTAGCTTTTATATTAGTGGCTATTTTAAAGGATAAAGCTGAAAAAACTAGAAAGTGCATTTCTTATGAAAATGCAAGTGTAAATGCTGAATAGTTTTGGTGAAAATGGCAAAAGTGTTTGAAGCCGGCCTGACACATGAACTGTGAAACACAAGACATTTCATATTGTAAATCTCAATTGTGCCACAGGATGTAGCTGCTTCCCCCATTTCTATGGGATGAAAAACTCATAAAAAGTATGAAGATTATGAATATCAAGAGATACAGTTCGCATTAGGAGAGCAAGCTGAATGGAAATAATGCCACAAAGTCGGTAGGAGAAGAAGCGCGGCAATAAAAGAGCACCCAGAATAATAAAAATAAAAAAAGAATGAAGAGGAACAGGAACTCAAGAGTATGAATGACTACAGCATTCACACTAATTATCGGCCAGTGTACTATCCAAGGTTCTGGAGAGGATTGTATCAAGTAAGGTAGAACATTTTCTCCTTACTTCAGATAACCAGTTTGGTTTTAAATCGCAGCATGGCAGAGATATGTATGTCTTTGCTTTAAAAGAGATTTTAGATTTGTAGAATAGGCACAACTCTAAAATATTTTGTTTTATTGATGCCTTGAAGGCTTTTGATTGGGTTAATCATAAAACATTTTGTAAGCAACACAACAGAGGGGTTCCTTAATCTGTTTGAATTTTTTCCTTGTGGTACACTCCTCAGGTAATGTACATAAGTTGGGTTAATTTTTTGTCTGCTCCTTTTAAAATAAGGAACAGGGTGAGACTGGGAAGTATTTTGTCTCCTCTTCTTTTTAATGTATAGTTGGATGATTTATCAAAGTGGCTACAGCACTGTGGGACAGGATGTGTTGTTGATGGGACCATAATTAACCATCTGATGTATGCCGATAATTTAGTTTTTTTAGTCCTTGTTGGTCTTCAAGAATTATTAAGGACTTGCTCACAGAATGGTCAACAGTATGACATTATGTGCAATTCATTGAAAAGTAATATTATCATTACAAGAACCAAGGAGAATCAGAAGTTGGTACTTCCTGACTTATCCCTATCTGGAACAAGTCAGAGTCTACTGCTGTCAGATATTTGAGACATTATATAACTGATGATCTGACTGATGATATGGACATTTAAAGACAACTTTGTTGAATGCACAAGCTGACATGCTGGTATGCAAGTTTGTGATGTGTTCTGTCTCAGTGAAAGTAGCTCTTTTGAAAGTATTTTGCTGAGTCCAGGCAGACCTTTAAATATTTTAAATTTGATGTGATTCTATCTTGATAGTGAAAGTAGCTCTTTTGAAAGTATTTTGCTGAGTCCAGGCAGACCTTTAAATATTTTGTATTTTGTACTCCTCTGTATACTGCTCACTTCTGGAGACAGTATAAACAAAGCAGTTTACAGAAACTCAAAGTGGCATATAATGATGGAATGAGGATGCTGCTCAGGATTCCAAGATGGACTAGTGCTAGTCAGGTATTTGTTGGTGTCTCCACTTTTTATGCTGTCTTACAAAAACTTGTGAACAGGTTTATGTGGAGGCTGTATTTCTACAAACATCATTCAGATACTAACAGATATTTCACAAAGCTCAGTCATGTTGTCCAGTCCAGAATGTGGAATCACTGGCGATTGAGACTTTCTGTTAATCAGTGACTTGTATGTGTGATTATTATCTTGCTATATGATTGTTTCAACTTTATAAATTGTACACACTTTATACTTCCAAATATGCTTTTTAGTTTTAGTAATGCCAGCGGAGGAAATTAAGGGAGCCGTTTGGTCCTTCTTGACTGTGCCACCAGGAAGCAGCTGCTTCTCCATTATCAAGAGTCCAGACCCTCTGTAGTAGCATTGCTCCCAGGAATTCAGCTTCATAAGTTTAATTTTCTTTCAAAGGTTTCAGATGTACTCTCCAGAAAAATCCTTGATTAGGCAAATTTTCTACAAATGTCTGGAAATTGACAGGGGTCATTTACTCTAACTGTGGCAACTGAACATCAAAATCAATTTATTTTCATCACTGTACAGTCACAAAGCTACATACGATGAGGTTAATATTCTGAATTCTGCACATTGAAACATTACTTACGGACTTAGGGTGAATGTTGCATAGAAGAGGCTCTCTGTCACATTATTTTCATCATTGACAAGAAAGACACTCTGCAACAGAGATATTGAACCTTTCTCTCCAAACGGGCAGTCTAAACGGGCTTTCAGGAAAGAAGTCCACTTTTTCTCCGAAACTACAAAGCCTCCCAAGTCACCCTGAATAAACACAAATATCAAACATTAAAGCTGCAATATGTCATCGTCATAAAAATATTTTTATGGATAATCTCTATCGTGAGTGAGCCGCTGCATCCTATCTTTTAAGGATGTAGCTTCAAAAAAATATAGCTCTGTCTTTTGCCTATGCTCTCATTGCAACCTCGAAACAATTACCCAGAGCCAGGAGGAGGGTCTTGGTGCTTTCAGTCATTCATTTGTGAGGCGCCTCAAAGCCCACCCTCTCTCCTTGCTTTCGGCTGTGCTGCAGCTGAGCTACTTAGCCCATAAGCTAGTTAGCATGGGGATAGATGATGAGCATGTGAATGAGAATTATTGGCAATGCTAAGACTTTCCTCCAGTCTCCAATTGGCTGTTTTGGGTCCGGGTGGCTCAGGAGCGGTTCTTTTCTTCAGATATTAGTAGGAAAGAAAACATGTGGAGGAGATCCATCTTTTCACAGCTTATCCTCTTACATACTGTCACAACATGGTGACAATTTTATGAAATATGCTAAAAATAACTTACTTTACACAATCGTGCAACTCTCGACAAACGGAGGTTGCTGCGTCGTTCCTCCACGGCAATCTCAGTAAAGAACACGAATAAATTGTCATCCTCTCTGTTTTCTGAACTTTTGCTGGTTTCAGCAACGTTTATGGAAATCATGATGGGGTCTGAGTTCATAACATTGAAAATTATGGAGTTACATGTCACAGGATAGAATCTGAAGTAAAAGAACCTTTAACTGGGTCAAGCTGTCAACTTACCATTGAACCAAGATATTTTATCTTCAGTATAGAGGTAATTGCGTCCGGTTCTCAGGAAAGCCTGTCTTCCCATGAAGTCTACAGAACCAGCCGCATATAATGTGTTTTCTGTTGTGAGCAGAAAAATTTACAATTCTCTTGGGTGTGTTTGTTCAAAGGTAAAAACTTTACATCTCGTATACACAGCAATACCTGTTGAGGCTTTGAGCAACTTGCTAAAACTAGTGTGCAGTATTAAACCATGTTTGTATCAATGGTAGCTCTTCTTCTCTTCGGTGTTTCTGTTAGCTTGGTGCAGCTCGATTCTCTTGCTACTGGTAGCTGCATCGCATCAGTTCAGTGATACACTGGCTAACGGCCTTGCTGTGATTCACTTTTCAGGCCATAGGGGTCTGGTTGTCAAATATTTTATGTCCTATTCAGTGTTTTTATATGTTTTGGCAGTTCTGTAGTCGTGTTAAAGCAGGAATATAGATACAACTTTTAAATATCAGGAAAAGTGTTTTAATGTTTTTGTGGATGCTGCATGCTACCATGGAAGGACAACAGTATATTAGTCTTAAAAACATAATTAATAAAATCAGAAAAAATTTATCCCTCAAAAAAATGAACCCATTTAAATAAAGAAATCCTTCCATGGGTGATGCCACGATAGAGAGCATTAATTTTAGAGAGCATTAAGGGATTAATGTGGGAATATTTCGGCTGCAGTGAGAAGACAGATGGCATCTTTGCAGAATAATGGTGTTCTGAGAGTAAAACGTGTTTACGGACAGCAGCAACCAGACAGGCGAATTATAATTTTATACAGCTGCCATTGGTAGCTGTTTTGTCTCTTGCTCCAGTTTCCTATTTTTTTCATCTAGTTACAATCCTGCAGCTCAAAGTCCAAGTACTGCTAATTTGTTGAAGCATCAAGAAGAGAGCGAACTCTCAGAAGTAGGAGGAGTTCAAGTTCACTGGTTGATGTTTTATGCAGGTCAGATCAAATGTACAACTATGAAGATGTAGGAGAACAACTAAACATTTTATATGATGACGTTTCTCAATGCTCAATGAGATGAACACTGAGGGACATGAGAGAAAGTGTTGCACCAACCATTCATCAGGGAGACAAAGTCTTCATGGGGGTCAAAGGGTGCTCTCCCCCTGCCCTCTGAAGTTGTGGTTTCCATGCTGACTTTTCCTCCTTTGAACAACTGAAGAAACATTAAATAATCTAGAATATTTAGAAATGGTGTTACTTATTTTCCATGCATTTGCTTTAATTCTGACTATTGAATCAAAAAACCAAGAGAACAGTATAAAATCTCTGTGCAGCCTGTTTTACATCCTTTAATGCCATTATTTTATTACAATAAATAAAATTCTGCCAACACAGTTAAAACCCAGTGCATCTTCCTAGCTGATGGGTCTGTGTCACTAGTCCAGCCTTAAGTCTCACATACGTGGAAACAAGCACTGTATATTTTTGTGATAGATGAATATAAATGTGTGTCCACATGACATGGTGCAGCATCATACAAAAGGGTGCAGTAAATATGCCTGTACAATTTGCCAATTAGGTGTCGCTATGTAGTGATATTGTAAAACAGAAACCTCAGTGCTGCTTCCTGGTTTAAAATGATGTTGCGCCTCATGTATATGTGTGTTGTGCCTCAGGATTGTGTATAAATGAAATGAAGTACAGTGATTCCACATCCTGGATGACAAAAAGCTTTTGCCTTTGTGTCCCTGGGGCCTGCATTATGAGAGGAACCTACCAGGTGTGTGCACAGAGGTTTGAATGCCCGGGTTCCACACGTGAAGATTCTGCTGTCATTCAGAGTGTGCAGTGTCGTGATGTAATTTTCACAGTCCTGTTAGAAGAACCGTTGTTTCTCCAAAAACATTTTAAGAAAATATTTTCTCATGTGAATGTGCTCAAATGTACCTCTTTGCTCTTGCCTTTTAACACGCATGCAGATTTTTCTCCAGAGGTCACTCTCCATTCAATCTGAAACAAAACAGATCAGGACGTTTTTTGCTGTTACAACAGACGACTCATTACTTAACCAATGGCACCCTCCAGTATCCCTAAGTATTGTGTGCACTGTTCAGGTTCGCAAACCCGTTCCACCCAAGCCCAGTTCCTACCTCGCCGGTCTTTTCAGCGATGTCATCCAAACGGAGCGTGATGACTTTTCCTCTGGCTCCGATGAAGAGCAGACCGATGTCTTCTCTCACCAGCAGGGAGCTCAAACCATTAAAGTCAGGCTCCTTAAACAGCTTCAGCTTAACATCTGAGGGAAAGAATCCAACCGGCATCCTCAGGCTACTTTACAAATCAGATATTTACCTCAGTGTGACGTTACTGTATGCCATTCTCAATGTTTTGACATTGACACACATGGACTCGGACTATCAATTCGAGACTTCTGAGTTTAGTTTACTCCCTGTATTTCACTTTGAGATTAGAATAAAAAACGTAGAAAGCATTTTTGTCGACAGGGTGTGAATACTTCTGCATTGATCTGGACATTTCAAAGGTGCTGCAGAGATGCCTCACCTGAGAAGGAAATGCTCCGGCGGGGTTTCAGGCTTTGGGCCAATCGTCCACTCATAATGATCAGGACATAAAGGAGCGCTACCTTACTGTTCATCATACCCTCAGACAGGAAATGAAGAAAAACACATTTTAAATAACAGTTATGGAAACAGCAGTGGAAATGGCCATGATAATACAAATCAGAATTGGGTCACTTCAAGCTGCAATGTGAACGCAGCCAAGAAGTATTCTGACACTTTTTGTGAATGATTTATTAGGCTGTGTTTACACTGCAGCTTGAATTGACCCGTGCAAATGACCTGGAAGTGTCCCAATTGCCCAGCAGAGGGCGCAATAATGCCTGCGTTCTCAGTCTTCTCCCAACCTCTATGAAAAGAAGAAGTGCTCAGTGTTTGGGGGAAGCAAACATGTATGCTAACAGTGGAGCATAGCTTACACATCTGCAGCATATTAACAACTTAATCCTCATAGGCCGCCATGTTTGTTGTTAGTCTTCCCGCTTGTGTATCAGGATGCAGAATAATGACGTTTGGCAAGTATCAGTGACATTCAGGTGGGATAAATGCAACCTGGATATTAGGTCGCGTTTGAATCAGATACGTATGGGATACCCAAGTGGCCAGGGTTGCATTCAAAAATAATCCGACCTTTGTTCTTCAGACTGTCATGAAAAGATCGTATACAGGTGGCGTTACTTCAAAAAGATTGGAATTGGGACAGTTCAGGCTGCATTGTGAACCAAGCCTTAGATTTCTGTTTGGATTTAAGCTGTTTGTTTGTAAATAAAATATTACATTACTGAAAACATCAATACGTTTAAGAAGTGCATTATCAAAAATGGTCGACTTAGACATTTAATTTTTTTAAATTAAACAAGATGTGATTGCTTACCTGTGATGGATGGCTATGTAAAGGCAATTTACTTCTGATAACATTTTTGAAAGGACACTGCAACAAAGATTTGGTTCTGAGCCGAAAGTTCTGCATCAACTGGAAAGAAGAGTTATTCCCCATTAGATATTAGAATGTTTCTTTTTAAAATAAACATGTTTTGGTTTCTCATAGTTATCAGAAGTAAATTGCCTCTATATAACCACCCATAATAGCCTCAGCTGAAGCTAGGCTATCTGATAGCTATATTGTCTGTATTAAACAGGAAATAAACTGTTATTTTTAACATCATAGAAGTTGTGTTTGTTTTTCTTCATTTCCTGTCGAGGTCATGATGATGAGTCATGTAGCGCTGCTTTATGTTCTGGTGATTATGAGTGAAGTTTCAGCCCAAATCCTGAAACCCTGCTGGAGAGTTTTCCTCGCAGGTGAGGTATCTCTGCAACAGCAGTCAATCCAACCTAGAGATTCACAAACCCACCAACAAAATGGAATTAAGAAGTTTTATTGACATGAAAGAATTAAAGTTCTTTGGTGCTCGAACACCAGCAAAAGACAGTGCTGTGGACTACGATAAGCTTGGACAAGCAGTTTGCAATGACGATTTAAGAGGTCTTCTCCCATTCACTGGTGGTAGAGGTCAGAGAATGGATGGAAGCCTGAAGGAGGCGGGTGCTTAGAGTTGGAGAAGGGACAGAGGTGGGTTGATTATGGCTGGTTAACCATCAACTGTTTATGTAATCCTGTAAACAGTCAGTGATTTCCAGGCTCAGTTCTATAACCCTGTTTGGGATAGGATCAATTCAAAATATAGCAATAAGAACTGAGAAAGCCATTTCATCATCTGTACTAACTGAATAATCATCTCTTAATTGCAGCTTTTTAAGTGAGAATAGAAAGCATAAAAAATTATAAAATTTTTCATAATTCACTAAACTGTAAAAGGTTTTTCCTGGGAGAAATTGATTCTTGAGAATATTTGGGAATCAAGGCAAACACCAGAAATATGCTCCGATATTAACCCCAAATATATAGAATATTTTTTTAATAAGCTTTCAACTGTCATATGCATTGGCCATTACTGTTTAGTATTTGTGGGAGATTTCAACTAAATCAGCCTTCTATCACCTGAATGTTATGATTTCTGGTGGTGAGGTAGATGCAGTGGACCCAAATATGCTTATACTGATATTAAAATTTTCTGAATGTTGCTACATATATTCTTCAGTATTTTTCAAAGACAATTATTTCAAGTTTAGTTATCTATTACTGCCATCTTGTGGCAGCATCTAGATTTTGAGTATTTGAAAACAATTCAGCAAGAACAGTCATTAGCTCCTCATCATTTAGTGCTGTGTATCAGAGTGGTCTAGTTTCTATTGTTAACTCATTATTTCAAGTCTCTTGAAAGAGTTGTTGATGCTGACGGCTGTGAGCAGGAAGCATTTCCTGTAGCAGCCTGTGTTACAACCTCTGACTGAAGATACTGTTTTTCTGAGACAGTCTTGTGACAAGGATGCTCAGGGTTGGTCATTCTCTTCCATAATGAACATTATTGGTGGTTCATACTAATAATAATTATTTGAGTGTGTGCTTTCTTAGCTTTGATTAAAGTAATGACTGATTTTTCTCACACATGAATTCAGGTGACAGCTTGAAAGAAGGCAGAAATGTCACCTGGCTGAATACGTCAAACTTAAAAGCCGAAGCTCAGGAGGAACAGTGTAAAGAGTTTTTGTATGGCAGTAATCAGGATTATTAGTTGCAATGTACGGCTAGTACGGGGCCATACATGGTTCTTCATGGTCTCTTTCAATTTGATCTTTTTATGTTGTGTCATTGTGATTAGGGTTAACGACCTGCCTTTACTACAGTATTACAGACCACTTAGAAATACATGAAAATCAAGCATTAATGGACAAAACTTGACTAAGTTCAATAAATCAAGCTGATGCTTCTGCAGGATTTTTAAATATTTTTTAAACAAGTGGTTAATCCACGCACTAAATCCCGTAGATGACCCCCTTCAAGTGGAAACTCCTAGGAGGTACATTTAACCAACATAATAAGTTACTATACTTTTTGTGTGCTTCATCAAATTTTGAATAACATTGGAAGTACTCCTACATCAGTAGCTCTGTTTATTATTTTTACATCAATGATTGCCTGGCCAATTAATGTGACAGAGTAGATCCTCTTAACCACTGACAAATGTGTCAGAACCACATGAACTGAGCTGGTTTTGTCAGCTTTAGCTAAGTTTTTTCTCAATAAAATGACTTCTCATATATCAAGATGTTCTGGTAAAATTGCATCTTTATTCTGCTAATGTGACTGCATTCTCATGATTACTTGTACTTAAAAATACTTGTAGCCTGAGCATAATACTCCATTATAGAACCTACAGAAGGGATGATTGAAATAAAGCCACTTTGTGAAAGTATTTTTTTTTAAGAAAAGAAAATGGAGTGTTGGGTGATTACATTTAAATCTGGTAGAAATAAAACTTAATTTGTATCATCGAACACATATTGGTATGTTGAATTAATTTACTGCTTAATACTCATATTTCTTTGCTGGTATTACTTGAATGTGTTTGTAATATTTCTGTAAAGCTAAAAGTATTAAATTTCTAAATTTTGTGTAAATGGTTTATGACCAATAAGGTTAGTGGGCTTGTTTCTCAGAAGATAGTTGTGACTCATGAAGGAGCTGACAGACTATAAGTTTGCAGTTGCGAGTGCCTTATATTTATAGTAAGAAAAATTCTATACATATTTACAACATCAGTGAAAAACATCCAAATAGCCATATAAAATTCACAAGAAAAAAACAAAAATCAACCAACACATCTCCCAATGTGTCCTTTTCTTTCATAGTTCCCTGCTCCAGTTAATAACTACCAGATAGGTAGACTTGCCTTAGGACATATTCAGGCTTGCCTCTGCACCCTCAAATTATCCCTATTCTTTACTTGTTTGATTATATTTAATTATATTCTTATACATGCTGTACGATTACCATAATAATAAAACAATCATATTTTAATCCATTTCTTTACCCGTAACTGCTTTTAATAATCATTAGATCTTAACATTGTTATCAACTTGTAATTCATTCTTTGTCATATTGTTCAGTTTTAATCACATCCAGATTCTTTATTTAATCATGAAAATCAGAAAGTACTCTCTTTAGAATCATCAGTATATTAAACACAAAAGTATATATATATCTTCTAATCATTATTAATCACCATGAAAGATTACTTCAGTCTCTCAGGCCTTTATGATCTGTTTTGCGAGTAAACCTGGAAAGATCTCACCTCCTCATGACAGTTTTCACAACACTACAAATACACAAGAAATGATTTCAGCACTGTTGTTTCTTTATTTGTTTTTTGCCATTTATGTCTGTCAACCATTTGCTTTATGTTCTTAAGTGAGTTTATTCTTAAATGTTGCCAATGTTCTATTTTCTATAGCCTTAGCAGATAATTTCAACCTGCTGTTCAGTCTTAAAGTTTCAGCCCTCATTCCCAGCATAAATAACCACACTTTCAACATTTTCGTCATTTATTTTTACAGAGTTGATAGCAGTGATGTACAAAGTGTAACAGAAGTAGGTTGTTTGGTTATCCAACTATAAATCTGTTTTAAACAGGAGATTTTGCCCTCGTTTCCACCCAAGTTGGATTAATTACCTTAGTACCAGGACCAGGACTCTGGTTGTGGTTCTTAGGACCAGAACTCTCACTTGCAAGACCCAGGCTTTGACTGTGGTTGGCTAGTGTTAGCATAACTCACACTGCTGCTGCCAACATGTTTTTCTTTTTTCTGCTTCCAGCATGCGTAGATGATGAGCATTACACACAACACACAAACAGAAGCTAAAATGTAGGTAATTGTAGCCTGAGTCCAGTTTACCCCCCTCTCCTTTCTCTCCTTTGCAAGCTTTACATGGTACCGGATCACGGCCATCCTGTGCTTTCTTCCTTTAACTACTTCCACTGTCTCACAGGTGTAAAGGCCTTCATCAGTGAAGGAAGGTGTTAAAACGAGTCCCTGACTCAGCAGAATGTGTCGCGGACCGGGCTCAAGGATGTTACCAGAGAAGCTCCAGCTGATGGGGAGATTGCTGTCAGCGGAGCCGGGGAGGAACTGTGCCACTTCAACTGTGAGGTGGATGTCGATAATCTTCTTTGACACTGTGGGAGAAGCCAAAGCAGCCATAAAAATTCTCCTACTACTCTCCTCACTAAGGTAAAGGTGTAAAGAGCTTTATGTGGGGAATACTTGCAATGAGAGTTTGGGCAGATTCCAACATCACCATCAGTGAGGTTCTGGATCCTGCAACAAATGAATTCAAACCTCTGATTATAAATGTAGCACACAGAACATGTCTTAGTTTAGTGTACATACATGGAGAGGTTTGAAGCACCAGCAACAGCAGCACACAGGCCTCTGAGACGATCCCAGCCACAGTATGGATCTCTGGCAGTAAGGCAGTCGGCACAGGATGTGTAGCGGCTGCAGTCCCTCACACTGAGCTGAGCAACAGCAGTTTCTAGTTGCACTGTACAGCTGACCCTGCAGATCATCAGAGTTCAAAGGTTAGCTCCAGGTCCATTTAGTCTACAGACATGTAGCTGTAACCTACACTTCTAGAGGAGAGCTGAAGGAAGCGAATGGGCTGAGGATCCTGAAACAGCTG